TATATATAAGAGAGAGAGAAAAAGAGATTTCTTGAGGTTATCTGGCAATAAACTGGTAAATCAATTCTTTTTAGTACTTTTGTAATCTTTTGACGATTCTACTAAGAGCTGAAAAGATTAAGCGCTAACCTTATAGAATTGTACTGAATAAAATTACAACTTAGTAACAAAATAAACTTTAAAATCTAAAAAATAATGTATAGAAACAGATGTTTATAATGTACGTACGCAATAAAATATAATATTTTATTAAATAAAATAATTAAAAACTGTAATTTCATTCATAAGCATTTCTAAAATATACGTAGAATAAATCTGTGTTACACAATGTAAAGGTTCAGAGATTCATGTTAAATCAAGGAGTTTCTAACTGTTTGTGCTAGCAACAACTATTGACCATTTCACGACCAATCAGAAAACAGTTACTCTATTTTAATGGAGATTTGAAACGGAAACTAAAGAGACTGATAACGGAAATGATACGTTTTTGATATTATCGTATTTGGGCAGTCATAAAAATGAACTTTGCAATAAGATAACTATTTATTAAAATTTTTTTAACAAAATTATCCTTTTATTCAATTTTTTTCTTAATAGAAAGTAATCATTAATATATTTTTATTCAACAACCTAGACGTGTGAGTGGAAACCAGTCTTATTGGAAAAGTTCCATTTGCACCTCCTACCTTATTAGCTTCTCATAGAATTTGAAAACAGTTGCTAAAATGTTTTATCTTTATTAAAAAATGGTTATTTTTTCTCATATTTTTTCACCTTCAACAGGTTTAAAATTATAAAGACAAGAAAGGAAGAAATTTTTTTAAAGACGTTTTCAGTAAATTTGAAACAATTCATAACCAACGGAAGGATTCATTAACAGTCAACGACAAGAAATAAGCTAACTTTTTCTCGCCATTGACTGTTAATGAATCTACACTTTTTACTACACTTGTGTTTTTGATCTTATTACGGGTGGTTGTGCACTATTGAGGGCTGTCCTCTCAGTTGCATATTATTTTTGTGCATTCTAAATTTGAACTTTTTATTATTAAAATTTATTTTGGAAAAAATTGACTTTTGTATGATTAATCTAATAGTTGAATCTTTTTTTTTTGTCTGAAATTCAAAAGCCTATGTATAAAAATGAAATATCTAATTTATCAGCTGTTACTTTACAATATAATTTTAAATTCAAACATAGAATAACATATTCTGCAAATGTGAATTAATATCGTCTAAATAATAAATTCTCCATCCATGCATCAACGCTTGGATAATTATTATATAATGACTTTAAAATATATGTTTCAAATTTGCCTTATAAAATTCACTTATATCTCTCAATTTGGTACTTGTGTCCACACATGTGACCTATAACGTCAGAGAGTCAGCTGATCGCGTAGAATCAAGATAGATGGCGTTTTAAAGTCGAGCTAAGTTCCATATAAGTTAGATTTCTTATTAACGTCATGTTAACTAAATATAACACTGTATCGCACATCAAATTTGTTAAACTGTAATTCTTTCTCTTTTATATCTCTTGCTAAGTTTTTCCACATAAGTTAGAATGTTAAATAACGTGAAATTTATTATAAACATATTGTTAATGTAAACAACCAATCAGGATCGAGATACCCACACTTCGTTACTTACAGCTGTACCATTCGGTACTTACAACTCGAAAAAAGTGAAGTAAAAAAATACTTGGCTTATAAATATCAGCATAATAATATAAAAAATATCATAATATAACAAATATAATTATCAGCACATGAATATAAAGAAATTACGCTTTCATATGTTATTTTATACAACATGTAGATTAAAATTCATAATTATTACTTAATTGACATATGAATCAAAACAATTTTGCAATGATGTTTTTGTTTTAATACATAACTTTAAACATGAAACGATAACAAGCTTAGAAATGCATTTTGTCATATGACATGATTATTATTTACAATAACTAAATTGTTATAACCCCCCATAACAAAGAATTAAAATAAAGAGAAGAAGACGAATTTATGAAGTTTCTTAGATACTTTGATTATTAAGGATTATAAGCAAATTAATGCAACAACCAAATGTAATTGTTTAATTTATCATAAATTAGTCAAACAATTACAAAATTGTATCCTATTAACGTGTTTTGTTAAATAAGTTTGGTTATTATGGTCAGTTGATTAGTTTATATCTGGCAATAATATTAATAACACTTCAAGCTTGTACTAGATTTATTCCTTTAATTCGAATTTTAAACTACGACTATAAAGAATTTTAAGTGTATTATAAAAAAAATGAGAATTTTTCAAAATGATATTTCTTTAGATTTGCCCTCTGAGAAAACCAGTCTGCCCCATTTTAGCAGAATATTATAAAATGTACCATGTTCACGACTTTATGGGAGCACACAAAGCACAGTATATTTTATCGAAGCACTTTGGGCAATGAATTTCGGCTAAATCAATAATAAAATGTGATTTTATTACCATGCAGTTTGGTAGTAAATTTGGTAAAATTTAGTAATTTTATCATACCTTAGAGCATGGCATAAAAATAATTTATTTATTTAAATTTATTTTTAAATTTTGTATTTTTACCAAATGCGTAATAATAATAACTATAATTTTAAGGAATACCGAGGTATATTTTGGTTTCATTCACAGAATCATTGTTTTTTTTTATCAGAAATGTCGTAACGATACGGTACGGTAGTTTTACCAAACTTTTTTTCTGCGTGCATTGATGCGTAAATATAGTTTAAATTTAGTTTAGTCTAAGAGTATTTAGCGACAAAAAGAATGAAAATAGGGAATAAATTTGTATCCCTTCTTTAAAGTTTATCGTACATCGCGTTAGCAATTTTTGTTTTGCTCTCAATTTAATCTTAAAAATCTATCTTGTTCTAATAAAACACATTAATAGCATTACTTAACATTTAAATCTTTAGCAATGAATCGACCCAAAATTTTCGCAATAAATATTCCATATGCCTGAGGTATTTTACAAAAATTATTTGAAAATGGTTTCTCTAGATAAAATAAATGCACATTTTAATATAATATTCGAAACATTCATATTTTGCCTACTTAGGAAAGAGGGCAATGCGATTTTTGGTGATTATAAAACTTTTCTCAGCAAATTATTATCTGAATCGAGTACAACAATAGTACTTTTAAGTAATGCTAAACTAATTTAAATAAATTTTTTTAATGCATGCTTATATGTACAACACAGTTTATTCGCAGAAATGATGTACTGTGTGCAAATAAATGCAATTACCAAATTTTGGTCGAGTTATTGAGTTTGCACTCTCGAAAATTCCATATCAAATTTTGATATAAAGTAACGGCACTTTAGATGCCTCATCCCTAAAATCAATTTTAAGTAAAACATTATAACTGTAATTTTTACATTTATTTTTTATTAAATAGTGTGATTCAGTGATTTTATGGCAATTATTAGAATAAAAATGAAGGTCTTTTAGATCTTTTTTTCATAAATATGTTCTGGAAAAAATATTACGGTAAAAAGTACCGACATTCAGTGTATACTTTTGCAGCACTCTGAGTGCCAGTACTTTTTACCATGATTTTATCCCGACTTTTCTACAGAGTAGGATGATCTCTCTAATTCTCTTAATTGCTGAAGTGTTTAACCATAAATATACAATTTAATTTATGCGAAAAAAAATTTACAAATCTTAATTAAACACAAAAACGTATTTTACTAAATAAATGTAATTTTTTCTTGATAAACAAGGACTTTTGATTCTTAAAATATGGGAGGTGAAGGTGAAAACCTGGATAATATGGTTTCAACAGTTTTGTCAGAAAAGAAACTGCAGGTTTGGATTATTTATGTTAATTTAACTTTTTGCATATGCGTTCTCCCTAAAACAAATCGAGCGAACCATAAATGTTTTGCGCATTACTAAAAAAAAATCTCACATTTAAGGAAAATCCTATGTATATCATTACGATGAGATCCGTAAATGATTATAATCAATTAAGTTAATAAAGATTTTTTTCTTTATTAACTTAATTATTTTTAATTATAAGGTGTATACATTTATACATTTATTTAACTATGTAATTTTAGTTAGCAAAATCCGAAGTAAAAAATAGTTCATATATATTTGGAAAACGATTTATGCGTAAAAATTTGTATTTTTGAATTTTCATAATAATAATACAACTTTTAAGATTGTATAATTAACTTATTTTTTTACACTATGGCCAAAACAATTCTCAACAAATTTTTATTGCTATATTTTCATAAATATTGAATCACACTACATTGCAGAGAATAAAAATTAGATGAAGCAAAAATTAGATGACATAAAAATGTAAACCGAATAAAAATTACGAAAAGCGGAAAGACCTAGTATCGGTGTAAAACTGTTTTCACGGCAAATGCATTTTCTTCTCAGAGAAGTTTCTTCGTGCATTAGTACATACACAGCGTTCTCAAAACGGAGAATATTTTAAATGAATCAAATGAAGATTTATAATTTCATCCGACAGTTGGAAGAAACATTTGCAAATAACTCCAATCAATCATACATGTGTTTCGACTTTGGTCGCTGGTATTTATTGATTTTAACAACCGGATATGTTAGGGAAATTCAATATAATTGATGACAAACATTAACTTCCTTTTTGTATTATGTACTCACTAAATATTGAAAAGTAATTTAAAGGCGTGAAGTTGTCAAAAGAGTGTATTTGAAAAGTTAAAGATAAATGCTGTATTAATAAAGTTATGGTAAGGAATAACTTGATGATAATATTCTTTGCTACAGTATTTTTGCAGCATTTTAGCTAACATATACAGGAGTAGCTTAGAGGATGTTTGACAATTGAAATTAACA